GGCTAACCACTGTCTTTTTTTTTTCTTTTTTGATCCCTGGACGCATTCTCATTAACCAGTGTCTTGTAAACAATTTCAGTCAAGAGGGGCTTTCTCCTTCCTACCTTTTTCTTAGAATATCATCTCAGGCTCTCTCCTCTAGGAAGCTTCCCCCAACTTTCCCTCTTCCTTTTTTTTTTTCTTCTCTCAGTATTTTAACTTTCGTGTTCAAGGGTCCCTGTGCAGGTTTGTTATAACTCCTGACTCAGGGCCGGGCGTGGTGGCTCACGCCTATAATCCCGGCACTTTGGGAGGCCGAGACGGGTGGATCACGAGGTCAAAAGATCGAGACCATCCTGGTCAACAAGGTGAAACCCCGTCTCTACTAAAAATACAAAAATTAGCTGGGCATGGTGGCGCGCGCCTGTAGTCCCAGCTACTCGGGAGGCTGAGGCAGGAGAATTGCTTGAACCCAGGAGGCGGAGGTTGCGGTGAGCCGAGATCGCACCATTGCACTCCAGCCTGGGTAACAAGAGCGAAACTCCGTCTAAAAAAAAAAAAAAAAAAAACAAACTCCTGACTCCAGGGTTTGGTGTACAGATTATTTCATCATCCAGGTACTGAGCATAGTACCCAACAGTTTCTTTTTTTTTTCCTGAACCTCTCCCTTCTCTCATCCTTTTCCCTCAAGTGGGCCCCACTGTCTGTTCCCGTCCCTGTCTGTCCACGTGTTCTCATTATCTCCCACATATAGATGAAAACACTCGGTATTTAGTTTACTACTGGTTTCTTTTTCAATGGTGGTGAAACGAGACATCACACTGAATTGGCCTTTAGGACACACCCCCGCCTCACCCCCAGCCCAAGGAAGGCAGACAGAGAGAGGTGTCTCCAAGGCGGTGGAGGCGGGGCTTCTCGAAGGGTCGGGGAGGAGGGACGTCCTGGAGTTAGCAAAAGTAGGGGACTCAATTTCTAGCCAAACCCCAACCGCCGGGCGCACAGCTGGGAAGCCGCAGCCTTCGGGTCACCAGCCTTACGTCTCCTTAGCAAGTCTTGTGTGCTCCCATCACACCCTGTAATGGCTCCTAGCATAGCGTGTATCACCTTTCTGGCGTCTGTCGGTACCATCCACAAATTTTTAAGTTTGTCAACAGCAGAGACCACGTGTTATCCTAGCACGTTAGCAGAACACCTGAAACCTATTAAGTACTCCGTGTTTCAATAGATAATTAAAGGGACTCTATTAGAGCCATATTAGGTATTTTCTCAATGCTCCTGGCCAGTTTCATTCCATTGCAGTCCCAAGCAGTCCCCTACCTAACACAGGCCAACCACGCCCCTTGTCTTTTTCACGAGTTAATAAGCAATATTCAGCTCTCTCAGCGCTACTCTCGCATTAGGGACGCGAGGAAACTTCCGGCTCCGCTTTTGCTACGTTCTCCCACTAGATTCCACAGGATTACTGTGAAACAAGCAGTCTCCACAAGGCAAGTTAATTTGCCCAATAAAGTTCAGAGAAAGATCCAGAAACCCTCCGGGGTGAGGGTGGTCAGTACTTTAACCACGCCCACTCCTCCCTCCTTTCAACTGAGGACCGACTCCAAATTCGCAACCACTTTGTTTTACGAGTGCCTCCCATCTCCGCGCATGCGCTTCACGCCTTCCACCAATCTCACACCCTAGCCTGTTCACATTTCGTACGCATGCGCCAATTCTATCGCCACGGTTCCAGTTACTAATTCCTTGTAATCTCAATGGTTAAAGTTTACGACGTCGCTATTGCCCCCGCGCCAGCACTAACCGATACTCAAACTCCTCGTCGTCGTATTTGTCCGAATAGTAAATTTGTTTGTGCGACATGATCGCTCCGTCTGCTAGCCTTCAGTCCCGCGCCGCCAACCTCCAAGCAACTCCCAGCAGCACGCGCTCCCACCCACTTTGGCCTCGCTTTCAAACACGCCGCCCGCACTTCCTATTGGTCTGTTTGGCTCAAGGCGGGACAGCTCCACCTTCAAGCTTCCGATTGGCTTAGATTTGCTTATCCTCGAGTCCTTATTGGAGGGCAGTTCCTACGTTTCTCAAGAACGAGCGTGGGTCAAAAGTAGCCCTCTTATTGGCCACCACTGCCTCCGTGCGTGATCTCGCGTTACCATTGGCTGACTCGGGAAAGTGGGAAGCGTGAAGGAGGGAACCTGAGGTAGAGGGTCAGGGGTTAGTGAGGCCGGAAGTGAGTGTAATAAAGTTTCTCCGGGGAGGCAGGGCCCGGGGAGAAAGTTGGAGCGGTAACCTAAGCTGGCAGTGGTGTGATCCGGAACCAAATCGGCCCGCGGTGCGGTGCGGAGACTCCATGAGGCCCTGGTGAGTCTTGATTTTTTTCTCCTTAGGTTACCCACTCTTCTACCCCGGAACCCCTCTCACGGGACCCCACTTCCGGTCTTCATTTATAAGTCCCGCCCCCTGAGACCCCTCTCCCCGGAAGTCCCACCTCCCAACTTCGGGGTGCTCCCCCGAACCCCCACTTGATTTTTACTGTCTGTCTCCGACCCCACCCTGTCACCCAGTTTTCCTGGAAGCCCCACCCCCAGACACGTTCCAAGCCCTTGTACGAGAAATCCTTCGTTATTCCTTCCATTCTCCGAAACTCCGCCTCCTAGCAAGGATCCTCCGCTAACTCCTGTCAAAAAGACTATCTCCCTAAAGGGCAAAACCCTGCTCCTCAAAGAACGAGATTCGAATTTGTTGAAGCCACGCCTATCCAGGGCCCCGCCCCTCTGAGACCACGCCCCTTCTGTAATCTACATCTGACTGTCCAGAAAGCCTCCCTGCTTAGAAGTCTAATGCTCTAGTCCTAGGGGACCACGCCCCCTTGGTAGTTTTATCTTTGTGGGACCTAGATCCTCAACTGAAAAGCCTTGATTTCAATCCCTGAAACTCCACCTGTTTATATTTCCCTGTCCTTTCTCTTTTTTGGGGGCCTTGGGATCAGTTTTCCGAGCACTCTTCTGCTCCCCCAAGTGGGAAGTCAAAATTCCCATCTCTGGCTGTGAGGCATAAGATTAAAGGCAGCCGTTTTCCTCTCTTTTTTTTTTTTTTTTTTTTTGAGACGGAGTTTCGCTCTTGTTGCCCAGGCTGGAGTGCAATGGTGCGATCTCGTCGCAACCTCTACCTCCCGGGTTCAAGTGATTCTCCTCCCTCAGCTTCCCGAGTAGCTAGGATTACAGGCACCCGACACCATGCTCGGCTAATTTTTGTATTTTTAGTAGAGACGGGCTTTCACCATGTTGGCCAAGCTAGTCTCGAACTCCTGATCCACCCGCCTTGGCCTCCTTAAGTGCTGGGATTACAGGCGTGAGCCACCGCGCCTGTTTTCCCCTTTCTTAACTTCCTCTAAGGGTAGAGCTATTTGAAGGGGCTGAACTTGGGGTTTGGCATGAGAGGGAGAGAGACTTGCTCTCAAGACTCCCAGCCTCACTTCCTGGCTTTCCCTTCCTAGGACCAACTCCACCCCAGAAATAGCTCTAGGCTTTACCTATACATCAGTGGATAGGACCATGGATTTGTTGGTGTGTGGCATGTGGGTGTGACAGGAGTGAAAGTTTTCTACTACCAGAAAAACGGTGGTTTGGAGTGGCAGTAGATAATATACTCTTTTTGTTTGATTTTTTTTTTAAGGGACAGTTCAGTCGCTACTTCTCTGTCTCTTCCCCTCCCCCTAATCAGAGATCTTTTCTGGGCATTCCTCCTGGTCCCGTGTGCCCAGCCTTCTCTGCTGGAAACATTCCTGAGGCTTTCGCCATTTCCTGCTACTTCCCGCTCCTCTCCCCTCCTCCCAGTTGGGCTGAGAAGCCACACACAGCTTTTCCCCTACACCCAATCACCTGGACTTCCAGTAGGCAATCTTCTTTCTCCCTATGCAAATTTAAAGAGTTATACTTCTTTCTTTTCTTCTAAACGCCCACACCCATCGGTCATTTTCTGGCTCTGGATACTGCAAGCTCCCACAGAATATCATCTCCACAGATGAGGACATCCTAGTGTGTGTTTGTGTGTTTTGGGGGTGTGAGGCTATGGTGGAATCCTTTCCTCATTCTCTCTATGCCTGAGAGATGGCTGGAAATGAAGTGATAAAATTCCTTCTCAGGATTAGCTGACAGAGTGACAAAGCTCTCCTGGAATGAGCACTAAGTGGAGATGTAAGAGTTAAGTGACCGGGCACGGTGGTACATGCCTGTAAACCCAGCACTTTGGGAGGCTGACAAGGGCAGATCACGAGGTCAGGAGCTCGAGACCATTCTGGCTAATGCGGTGAAACCCCATCCCTACTAAAAATACAAAAAATTAGCCTGGCGTGGTGGCATGGGCCTGTAGTCCCAGCTACTCAGGAGGCTGAGGCAGGAGAATTGATTGAGCCCGGGAGTTGGAGGTTGCAGTAAGCCAAGATCATGCCACTGCACTCCAGCCTGGGGGACAGATCGAAAAGCAAAACGCTGTCTCAAAAAAAAAAAAAAAAAAAAAAAAAAAAAGTTAAGCACAGTATCTAACACACTTTAAGTGTTAATGTTGTTAATCAGGATAATCATATTATATATATAAATCCACAAGTAAATCTAAGGGTAATTCCAAGGTGAGCTTGAGATGATATGTATCTTTTTTTTTGTTTGTTTTGGAGGTGGAGTTTCACTCTTGTCACCCAGGCTGGAGTGCAGTGGCTTGATCTCGGCTCACTGCAACTTCCACCTCCTGGGTTCAAGCAATTCTCCTGCCTCAGCCTCCAGAGCTGGGATTACAGGTACCTGCCACCATTTCCAGGTAATTTTTTGTATTTTTAGTAGAGACAGGGTTTCACCATGTTAACCAGGCTGGTCTCGAACTCCTGACTTCAGGTGATCCACCTGCCTCAGCCTCCCAAAGTGCTGGGATTACAGGCGTGAGCCACTGCACCTGGTGGGAATATGTATCTTTAACTTGTTTTTTTGGTCACTTTCCAGCTTTCCTATGGCATTCTCCAGAAGAGCAGTGGCAGGAAGCCGTGGGTGGCGGGAATGGGATTGGGACTGTTCCCTGTGCCAGCTTCAGCCCGTCTTCTCCTGACATCCCTTTGTCCTGTACTTATTTTTTCTCCTGTCCTTATTGACATGGATGCGTCTTCTGATCTCTCTGTCCTTTCCTGGCGTGTAGCTTCTATGTCTCTTGGAGAACTGTTTCTTCTTTCAGCCAGGCTCCTTCCCAGGTGTGAGGGACACTGTACTCTTTGGTGGGGCTTAGGGCCCTGTAAGAGCAGGGATATGAAGTGGGGTGGTTTGGAGTGGGTGTGGGGACCTGAGGCCTCATTCTCACCCTTGACAATGTACTGTGTTAAGCCTGTGGAAAGGGGAGACTGGATAGTGCTTGGCTGTGAGCCATAGCTCTTTGGTGTGGTAGATGCCGCGCATAGAGAACAAGCTGTGACCAGCATGTCCTCTTGTTCACTTCTTGCCTGGTAGCTTCCTGATGTACCATCCAGGTTGGACTTTATTCCCTGATTTTCACCAGCTTTGCTCTTCCTCTTGACCCTGCTCTGCATCCATTGGGACCACTTCCTTCCCATCCCCACTTCGCTAGCTCCAGTCCACAGCTGTTGTAGCAGAGGATGCTAATGGCCCAGGCTCACTGTATGTGGTAGTGGTGCGGGGTGGCCTGGGCTCGAGAATGGGGGAATTCTAGTGTTCAACCAGGACAGGAAGGGAAATGCTGAGCTCTGAGATCTCCTCCCTTTTCCACCCCCAGTTGCCTCCGTTTCCTCCCTCATTCCTCTCTACTCTCGCCTGGCTTCCTGGCCCCTTTGGTCTGCCTGTGTCCGGTTTCCAGTGACCCGCACCTCCTCTTATCTCCCTCCTTTCCGTCTTATTTCTCCATCCTCTCCTCCCACCCCCCACTTTACTCCTCCCCAGATTACTAGTTGTTTGTATAGGGCTGGGGAGAGTTCGAGGTTGGGGCAGGGTGGGGCTCAGCCCCTCTGAGCCTGTGAGTCAGCACTGTCCTCCGGATTGGTCTCTCTCCTTAGCTCCCCGCCCCCAGGGAGGAGCCAGGCAGCTCTGGGTCCAGCCTGTTCTCTTCTCAGCCAGAGAAGAGGCTCCACGTTGGGCGGGGATGGGGCCTGAAACTGTCTGGGTCTGAGCTGGGGAGCGGAACCCACTTGTCCCTCTCCCTCCCCAGGACTTCTGTGACTCCTGGGCCACAGAGGTCCGACCAGGCTAAGGGCCTGGGGATACCCTCTGCCTGGCCCCCTTGCCCAAACTGGCAGGGGGGCCAGGCCGGGCAGCAGCCCCTTTCTCACCTCAGCTATGGATCTCCTGCCCCCTAAGCCCAAGTACAATCCACTCCGGAATGAGTCTCTGTCATCGCTGGAGGAGGGGGCTTCAGGGTCCACCCCCCCGGAGGAGCTGCCTTCCCCATCAGCCTCATCCCTGGGACCCATCCTGCCTCCTCTGCCTGGGGACGATAGTCCCACTACCCTGTGCTCCTTCTTCCCGCGGATGAGCAACCTGAGGCTCGCCAATCCGGCTGGGGGGCGCCCCGGGCCTAAGGGGGAGCCAGGAAGGGCAGCCGATGATGGGGAGGGGATCGTAGGGGCAGCCATGCCAGACTCAGGCCCCCTACCCCTCCTCCAGGACATGAACAAGCTGAGTGGAGGCGGCGGGCGCAGGACTCGGGTGGAAGGGGGCCAGCTGGGGGGCGAGGAGTGGACCCGCCACGGGAGCTTTGTCAATAAGCCCACACGGGGCTGGCTGCATCCCAACGACAAAGTCATGGGACCCGGGGTTTGCTACTTGGTTCGGGTGAGTGAACATTCTCTCTTCCACTCCCTCCCAGCCCCCGCCCCCCCCCCCCCCAGTTCTGCTCACTCCAGCTTGGCTGGAATCTCTTTTCTCCTGCTGTTCTACAACCCCGTTTCAGTGTCCTATTTCCTAAACCTTTCCCATCCCTTCCCTGATTCTGTAGTCCCTTCCCTTCCAGCTCTGCCTGAGCCCCCTTCCTTCTTTTGACTCCCCCACCCCCACCTCTACCCTGCCATGCTTAGCACAATGCCCAGCATGGCAGAAGCTCTTAGTAAGTGTTGGAATGAGTGACTTATTGATCCTCCCCTCCATTCTCCTCCTGCTTTCTGGAGTTGTCACTCCATCCCAGCCAATGCCTGTCGGTCCCCTCCAAACTCTCTCCCCAGTGCGAGGTCCTTCTTTCTAGCCTGCCTTTCTTTCTCTCCTCATTCCCTGTTGTCTTTCACCTTGATTGTGGGATGTAGCCACGGGAAGTGGGCAGAACCTCTCCATCTCTACTTCCCTTAAGGACCATGTGGGCAAAGTCCTAGGGCCCTTTGTGAAGGGGCTGGGGTGGGGGAGCTGCTGACCTGCTGTCCTCCCCTCCTTCCGCTTAGTACATGGGCTGTGTGGAGGTCCTGCAGTCAATGCGTGCCCTGGACTTCAACACCCGGACTCAGGTCACCAGGTTAGTGGGGAGGGAGTGGATTGGGGGAGTCCCGGGGTTAGTGAGGCCACAGGAAAGGGAGGAGGGGAGTGGTCACTTGAGTGCTGCTGGTGGGGGCTGATCTTTGGGTAGTGGAGGGGATTGAGAGAAAGCTGGTGGTAATTCTGTATCTTACTGAAAGGAGGCCCCTCTGGCCTGGATCCTCCTTACCTATCCATCCTTGGGAGTTGTGGGGAAGGTGGCAGAAGCAGCTGGCAGGTAGAGCTGGAGTAGAAAATGGGGGTAGATGGAAGGTTGCTGCTGCCTTTGGGAAGGGAATGGGACATTTGGTAGCTGGAAGTGGGTGGGTCTGTACCCATTGAGGCCCTAACCCAATCAGCCAGGAAGCGGCCTCTCAGTGTCATCAAATATTAAAGGCCCTTAATTCAATCCACCACGACAAAGAGCCTGGAGTGCCCTGGGAGTCTGGCCTGGCTTTCCCCTCCCCCAGCCCTGTGGCAGCCCCAGCTGAGTGGGAAGCAGGCAGGCACTGGGTCTGAGTACCCCTCTTTCCCCAGGGAGGCCATCAGTCTGGTGTGTGAGGCTGTGCCGGGTGCTAAGGGGGCGACAAGGAGGAGAAAGGTATCTGGGGTCCTTGGGGTAGGGATGCAGCTGGGAGATGTGAGGGGCAGGGGGAAGGCAAGTGTGGGGCATGTGGGGGAAGGCCAGAAGGCAAGAGTGTGGTTTGCCGGAGCTGGGAACCCTCACCTTCTGAGACCCTGGGCCCTACCTTAGCCCTGTAGCCGCCCGCTCAGCTCTATCCTGGGAAGGAGTAACCTGAAATTTGCTGGGATGCCAATCACTCTCACCATCTCCACCAGCAGCCTCAACCTCATGGCCGCAGACTGCAAGCAGGTTGGTGGAGTTGGGCAGGGGGACTAGAAACACTGGTGGGGGTGCTAAGGGGAGATCTAGTTAGGAGGCCAAAAACTAGGAAGAGGGCTTGAGAGCAAGAGACCAGTAGGGACGGAGGAAGTGAGGATATGGGATAAGGAACCCAGAGAATGAAACTGGGTGTGAGGGTTCTGGGCCCTGAGGCGCCTGACGCATGGCATTCCCTTCCTTCTTCATCCCCTGCCCTGATTCTCAGATCATCGCCAACCACCACATGCAATCTATCTCATTTGCATCCGGCGGGGATCCGGTGAGTTGGGGAACAGAGCAAAGGTGGCGGGAGAAGAGCAAGGGGCTAGGGATTGGGAAGACATTTATTAGAGAAGTGGGGGTGCTAGGATTGTGGGGATATCTGAAAAGGACGGGGTTTTAGGGGTTAGGAGTAAAGTGGAGCTGTAACATTTTCTGACCTTCCTCCCCAGGACACAGCCGAGTATGTCGCCTATGTTGCCAAAGACCCTGTGAATCAGAGAGGTGAGGCATGGTGGGGAGCACTGGGTGGGTCCGGCTGTTTGAGGAGATGAGCGGGACCTGGGGTCTGCACCCGCTTTTGCTAAGTAGAGCTAAGTAGGGGTTACTGCTGAGGAAGATGAGGGCCCTGTCTATGCCTCCTCCCAGTGGGCTCAGCTCAATGACCGCCTCTGCTGTGCCCTCAGCCTGCCACATTCTGGAGTGTCCTGAAGGGCTTGCCCAGGATGTCATCAGCACCATTGGTCAGGCCTTCGAGTTGCGCTTCAAACAATACCTCAGGAACCCACCCAAACTGGTCACCCCCCATGACAGGTGAGCAGGTGGGGAGGATGTGCAGCAGCTCTTAAGCCCCAGAACAGGATTGGGAAAGGAGGGCTGCTCTTCCTACACTTGAGCTGAGAGGCTTAGGGAGGGAATAACCTGCGTGCCTCTGCTTCCCCCTTCCTGTGATTCTTCCATTTCCTGTGGCCCACAAGGAAAGACTCTTGAGGCCCTGCTTGCTGCAGGGCCAGCTTTTCCTCCTGTTGCTCATGGTGGAGCTGCAGTCTGAGGCATCCAAGTTACATCTCTCTCTCTGGCTAGATGAGATTTTTCTACTCCCATCCCTCTTGCTTGCCCATTTCTCTGACACTCTGTATTTTAATGCTTCCAGAAGCCATCAAGAATTTGGGTTTGTGAGGATATCTCTTTTCCCTGAGATTAGTGTTTCCCACCTCTGGCCGTGAGGGATAAGCAGTGGCGCCAGGAGGGACTGATTAGGAGAGGTTAAACTATTCTGTAGTGCCTTCTCCCCACCTCACTACATAATGCTTCCCTTCCTTGCTGGCAGATAGCACAGTGATCAAGGGCAAGAGCATTACTTTTTTATTTTGAGACAGAATCTTGCTGTGTTGCCCAAGCTGGAGTTCAGTGGTGTAATCACACAACTCACTGCAGCCTCCATATCCTGGGCTGAGTGATTCTCCCACCTCAGCCTCCTGAGTAGCTGGGACTACAGGTGCATGCCACCACACCTGGCTAAGTATTATTATTTTTTTGGTAGAGGCAGTCTCACTACGTTGCCCTGTCTGGTCTTGAACTCCTAGGCTCAAACAACCTCCCTCCTTGGCCTCCCAAAGTGTTGGGATTACAGGTATGAGCCATTGCACCTGCCCAAGGGCATAAGCTTTAAAGTCAAACCTGAATTTAAATCTGAGTCTGTCACCTTTTAGTTGTGAGACCTTGGGCAAATCTTTTCACCACTGATCCTCATTTGCCTCATCTGTAAAACTAGGAAAGAAAACAATACCTATCTTATGGGGTTGCCAGGAGAATGAAATGATTAGGTATATAACACACTCAGCCTCAGGCCTAACCCATAGTAAATACCGAATACATGGCTGCTGTTCCGTTCCCTCCTCCTGCCCACCACACATTTACGGCCACACCTTCACTGTCCTGTCTCTCAGGATGGCTGGCTTTGATGGCTCAGCTTGGGATGAGGAGGAGGAAGAGCCACCTGACCATCAGTACTATAATGACTTCCCGGGGAAGGAACCCCCTCTTGGGGGGGTAGTAGACATGAGGCTTCGGGAAGGAGCCACTCCGCCCACTGCCCAGACCCCCAGCCACTTGGGAGCTACACTGGTAAGTTGTTTGGATGGAGGCCTAGGGTGGGAGTGGCTGGTTAGGGCCTCTGGTTCCACCTTATTTTCATCCTTGCAGCCTATAGGACAGCCTGTTGGAGGAGATCCAGAAGTCCGCAAACAGATGCCACTTCCACCACCCTGTCCAGGTATGAAGGGAGCCGAGATGGGCAGAGCTGGGGAGTCCTGGAGGCAGGACCGGGATCACTGTACAGCCTCCCTTTCCTCAGCAGGCAGAGAGCTCTTTGATGATCCCTCCTACGTCAACGTCCAGAACCTAGACAAGGCCCGGCAAGCAGGGGGTGGTGCTGGGCCCCCCAATCCTGCCATCAATGGCAGTGCGCCCCGGGACCTATTTGACATGAGTGAGTGCTCCTCTCTCCTCTCTGCATCCCTATCTTCCTACTTGGTTCTGGCCCTTCCCCTGCCTATATCTGCTCTTTCCTTCCCTGAAGTCTGGGTCTTGGGTGTGTATTGTGCCTGCTACCTCCCCTCACCCTCTCTCTACACCTCCAGAGCCCTTTGAAGATGCTCTTCGGGTGCCTCCACCTCCCCAGTCGGTCACCATGGCTGAGCAGCTCCGAGGGGAGCCCTGGTTCCATGGGAAGCTGAGCCGGCGGGAGGCTGAGGCACTGCTGCAGCTCAACGGGGACTTCCTGGTGCGGGAGAGCACGACCACACCTGGCCAGTATGTGCTCACTGGCTTGCAGAGTGGGCAGCCCAAGCATCTGCTACTGGTGGACCCTGAGGGTGTGGTGAGTATGGCAGAGGTGAGGGTGAGGGGTGGCAGAAAGGAAGGTACAGTACCCTACAGTGCATTCTTGTTCCTTCCCCCATTGCTTTCTAGACATTTCCTGCTGGGCAGCTCTCTGTGGGCCTCTCTGCTCTTCAAGGTGTCTGGCATCTTCCTCCAGGGGCTTATCCCTTAGCCTGAACTGTGTCCTTTATAGTCCTGGCACAGGGCCAGGCATGGTGGCTCACGCCTATAATCCCAGCACTTTGGGAGGCCAAGGTGGGCAGATCACTTGAGGTTAGGAATTTGAGTCCAGCCTGGCCAACATGGTGAAACCCAGTCTCTAGTAAAAATATAAAGATTGGTCAGGCACAGTGGCTCACGCCTGTAATCCCAGCACTTTGGGAGGCTGAGGTGGGTGAATTACCTGAGGTCAGGAGTTTTGAGACCAGCCTGACCAATATGCTGAAACCCTGTCTCTACTAAAAATACAAAAACTAGCCGGGTGTGGTAGCCTGTACCTGTAGTCCCAGCTACTTGGGAGGCTGAGGCAGGAGAATCGCTTGAACCAGGGAGGTGTAGGTTGCAGTGAACTGAGGTGACACATTGAGGCTCTGTCTCAAAAAAAACAAAACAAAACAAAACAAAAACCTGTGTGTGGTGGCACACAGCTGTAATCTCAGCTACTCAGGAGGCTGAAGCAGGAGAATGGCTTGAACCGGGAGGTGGAGGTTGTAGTGAGCTGAGATCACACTGCTGCACTCCAGCCTAGACAACAGAGTGAGATTCTGCCTAAAAAAACAAAACAAAACAAAATAAATACAGCCCTGGCTCCTCCTCAAATCTCCAAGCCGTAAGCTTATCAGAGCTAGAAGGCAGTCATCTATATCATCTGTGCCCCTCTTTTGACAAATGAGGAGACCACTCTGAAGAGGTTGTGATGCCCAAACTCAGATGGTTAGAGGCTAGACACTGCAAGTTTCCTTTTGTAAGAAGACCCACGGGCTTCCCCAGCTCCCCAGACTCAGGACTCAGACCCTTGTGCTTCCCCTTATCTGTACTGCATTACTGTTCCTCCAGACTTCCGTTGTTTAGCCACGTGTGGTGGCTCCAGCCTGTAAGCCCAACATTTTGAGAGGCTGAGGTGGGAAGACAAGCCTGGGCAACATAGCGAGACCTGGTCTCTACAAAAGTAAAAAAATAAAAAATTAGTCAGGAATGGTGAAACATGCCTGTAGTTCTGGCTGCCCAGGAGGCCGAGGCCTTGAGGATCGCTTGAGCCCAGGGGTTCTAGGTTACAGTGAGCCATTATTGTGCCACTGCACTCTAGCCCGGCTGACAGAGACCCTGTCTGGAAACAAAAAACTTTTGTTTTCTACAGTAATCTCACCCTCCTTTCCTTTTTCTTTTTTTTTTTTGAGATAGGGTCTCACTTTGTCACCCAGGCTGGGGTGTGTTGGCACAATCACAGCTCACTGCTGCCTTTGCCTCCGGGGCTCAAACAATCCTCCCACCTCAGCCTCCCACCTCAGCCTCCCAGGTAGCTGGGACTACAGGCATGTACCACTATACCTTGCTAATTTTTTTTTTTTTTTTTTGTAGAGATGGGGTTTTGCCATGTTGCTCAGGATGTTCTTGAACTTCTGGGCTTAAGTGGTCCACCTGCTTTGGCCTCCCAGAGTGCTGGGATTACATGTGTGAGCCACCACTCCTGGCCTCCACATCTTTTTTTGCACTGTGTATACTCTTCTGAGACATGCCAACTTCCTCCAGGTCAAGAAAGGGGTATATAGGTCTCAGCTTCCCTGTTTCAGGGCTGATGCCTCCTTTGCCTTTTCCCACTTCACTGACCTGTCTATTCCTACAACTCTTTTTAGAGAAGCCTCAATGATCAGGACTGACAGGCCCCTCCCTCTCCCACCATTTTTTTCTCCTTTAAGCCTCTCACACTCTTCCACCTTGGAGGATGAGGTCTTGACTCTTCACCTGAATTGCCTACCTTCCTTCCCACCCTCCCAGGTTCGGACAAAGGATCACCGCTTTGAGAGTGTCAGTCACCTCATCAGCTACCACATGGACAATCACTTGCCCATCATCTCTGCGGGCAGCGAACTGTGTCTACAGCAACCTGTGGAGCGGAAACTGTGATCTGCCCCAGTGCTGTCTTCCAGAAGATGCCCTCCAGTCCCCTCCACCCTATTCCCTAACTCTCGGGACCTCATTTGGGAGTGTTCTGTGGTCTTGGCCTTGTGTCAGAGGTGGGAGTAGTGTGGACACTGGGTTTTGTATCCAGCTGAGTGAGAGGGTTTGAGTCAGAAGCCAGGGGGAGAATCCTACTTCTCCCCAAACATTAATCACCAAAGTATTAATGTACAGAGTGGCCCCTTACCTGGGCCTTTCCTGTGCCAACCTGATGCCCCTTCCCCAAGAAGGTGAGTGCTTGTCATAGAAAATGTCCTGTGGTGACAGGCCCAGTGGAATAGTCACCCTTCTGGGTAAGGGGGAACGAATCACACCTCTGGGCTTCAGGGTACCCCAGACTCCTCTCAACACCCCCCCACCCCCATGTTTAAATTTTGTGCCTTTGACCATCTCTTAGGTCTGAAGATATTTTATGCAAAGAGTTCTTGGGCCCCTGAGTTCAATGACAGGGATGCCAACACCTTCTTGGCTTCTGGGACCTGTCTTCTCCTTGCTCAGCATCCTCTCCGCTTTGGGCTGGGAGAACAGAGGCAGGAGTGGCAGCTGTCCCCTCTCCCTGGGGATATGCAACCCTTAGAGATTGCCCCAGAGCCCCCCTCCCGGCCAGGGGGGAGATGGACCCCTCCCTTGCTCAGTGCCTCCTGGCCGGGGCCCCTCACCCCAAGGGGTCTGTATATACATTTCATAAGGCCCGCCCTCCCATGTTGCATGCCTGTTGTACTCTACAGCCAAAGTGTAGCCCTTCCTCCTCGAGCCTGTGCCCTGCCTCCCCTTTGGAATGGGGGGGTGGGGTGACGAATTTGGGCCCCTTGTACACGTAACTCTCCCAGGTGGATTTTGTGGAGGTGAGAAAAGGGGCATTGAAACTCTAAAGCAGTAGACAATCCCCAAATACCATCTGTAGAGTTGGAACTGCATTCTTTAAAAATTTTGTATGCATATATTTTAGGGCTGTAGACTTACTTTCTTAATTGTTTTCCATGGCTTATTCTTGAGCACAAAATGATAATCAATTATTACATTTATACATCACCTTTTTGACTTTTCCAAGCCCTTTTACAGCTCTTGGCATTTTCCTCGCCCAGGCCTGTGGGGTAACTGGGATCGGCAGCGTTATCTTTTAGACCAGAGACCTGAGGCAGATGAAACTGATTTCCAGATAGGACTAGAAAAACTTGGGCCTCTTACCGCGAGGCTGAGAGGCAGGAGTTTGCCCGAATGCCTGTCAGTTTCACGAAGGGGAAATGCAAAAGCTGCAGGTCCTGGGTACCTCCTACAAGCCACACCAGAGCAAGCCGGCCCCCCTCCTTCGGCCTGCGGATAAGGGAGAGCTGATCGTTTTCATCCTGGCCTCCTTTTGTTGTTGTTTGGATGTTTCCACGGGTCTCACTTATACCAAAGGGAAAACTCTTCATTAAAGTCTGTATTTCTTCTACCTCGGCCTCAACCCTTCTGAGAAGCCTATTGTGTTCGCCGCGGGCCCTCAGCGGCAGACGGGGAGGGAGACGGGAGGTCGCGGCCGCCGAGGGAAGCTGAGGGTCTGCAGAGTTTGGGCGCGGCAGGGTGGGGCGTGTCGCGCCCCCGTCTCCGTGGGGATGTCCTGTCCGCGGAGGGGGTGGCTCTGGCGCCCCCACGCCGGTCCCCAGGCTGCCGGGCCTTCCGGGCGCGCCCCCGACTTGCGCGCGCCCCTCCGCGGCGGCTCCACCGCCCGGGATGGTACGGTCCAGTAGCAACGCCGCCGCGCGCCGCCGCCCCTTTGTCAGCGGGTGTGGGCCGCCGGCTAGCGGAAACGACCCTCTCTACTGAGTGGTGCCGTGGTACGCCTCGCCCCTCGCATGCTTTCAGGCATAGAGTCTCAGCCGGTCCTTTCCTCCCCCTCACCACCGCGCTCAGTGGTGGTAGCCGCACCGAGTTCCGGTTCCGGTTGCTGCCGCCGCTGGCGGGCAGCGAGTCCGAAGAGAGCGCGCAGTTTGCGTTACGGCTCGGCGCTTTCCGGTCGCCGCACGTTGGGGTTGCTGCAGCTCGGGGGCCTGTGCTGCCTCTGACTCCCCTTCTGGGCGATGGTGCAGCCCGAGGGCGCCTCCATCCCCAGCCGCCGCCGCTGACCCGGGTCCCCCACTCCATGGCCGCCTCGGCGCCGCCCCCACCGGACAAGCTGGAGGGAGGTGGCGGCCCCGCACCGCCCCCTGCGCCGCCCAGCACCGGGAGGAAGCAGGGCAAGGCCGGTGAGAGCGCTGCGAGGGGCGCGGGATACAGAGACCCCGGAGTTGGGAACCTCAGAGGGGAGAGATGGTTGGCGGAGGGTGTTTCACAGGCTGAAGGGCGGCTCAGGTGAAAAGGATGGGTGGGTGTAGCTCTCCAGGGGTCGGGGGCAGGTGTCACACATTGAGGACTGTAGGGTTTGGAGCCACATGCAATTCAGTAGGCACTTGGAGCTTGAGGATATCGAAAGATGGGACATCTCTCATTTAAAGGAAGACATAGCTGAGAGTATGATCATCTTCACAATCTATTTTTCATATTGCATCCCTTGTTAGCATTTGCTAAATAAATAAGCAAGTATGTATTGACGTCAAAGGAGTTCCTCAGAGCATGGCTGAGAGAAAAGAGGTTGGGGAAACCTCAGGGAAACTTGTCTGCGTCTTCCTTTTGCTGCTCTTCCAGGTCTGCAAATGAAGAGCCCAGAAAAGAAGCGAAGAAAGTCAAATACTCAGGTGAATGGTGTTTGGTGGTGGGAGTATTTCCCAGCAGCCCGTTGGCGGCACACTCTCTACTCTGCCCTTCCAGTATCTGTATCTTCCATCAGCTGCAGGGAGGAGAGAAAACTCTTTCTTGGTCCGTTTCTGGTTCTTTTCCTGAACCTTATAACAAATACAGGGGAAAGTATCCTCTCCTAAGAGATGGATGATTCGACCAAAGTTCTTACCAGGCAGGGTTCCAGGTCTTTTCCATGTTTCCTATCCTGGTTTCCTCATGATGAGAATGTAATACCTACCACTTACTGAGCCTTTTTTAGTGCCAGGGATTGTGCTAACATGCTTCAACAGTTTGGGGAGATAGGCATTACCCGTGTTTTACAGACGAGAAATCTGGGGGTTAAAAATGTTAGCTATGTGCTCCACAGTCTTGAGGTTGTTCAGGGTCAGAGCTGGGATTTCATCCTAGTTCTGCCTATTTTTAACGCAGTTACTGCGCTACGCAGGTTCCACTCTCCACCTCTCTCTCTCTCTCTCTCTCTTTTTGTAGTCACAGAGTCTTAATATGTTTCCTATGCTGAGCTCAAACTCCTGGGGTCAAGGGATCCTCCTGCCTCAGCTTCCCAAAGTGTTAGGGTTACAGGTGTGAGCCACTGGGCCTGTCCTGTGGTCCATATCGATTTTAGACCTGAGCTGCCCACTATCAGCCTCCAAAATGTGTACTGTGTTGGCAGTGCTCTTTTGGTTTAATTCTGTGCTTCCCTCCATGATCCTCTTTCCCTCAACTGTTTCCCACTAGGGCCCTGCATACTCACATCTGACGGAGTTTGCACCACCCCCGACTCCCATGGTGGATCACCTGGTTGCATCTAACCCTTTTGAAGATGACTTCGGAGCCCCTAAGGTGGGGGGTGCAGCCCCTCCATTCCTTGGCAGTCCTGTGCCCTTTGGAGGCTTCCGTGTGCAGGGGGGCATGGCTGGCCAGGTACCCCCAGGCTACGGCACTGGAGGTGGAGGGGGTCCCCAGCCACTTCGTCGACAGCCACCCCCCTTCCCTCCCAATCCTATGGGCCCTGCCTTCAACATGCCCCCCCAGGGCCCTGGCTACCCACCCCCAGGCAACATGAACTTTCCCAGCCAACCCTTCAACCAGCCTCTGGGTCAAAACTTTAGTCCTCCTAGCGGACAGATGATGCCGGGCCCAGTGGGGGGATTTGGTCCCATGATCTCACCCACCATGGGACAGCCTCCCAGACCAGAGCTGGGCCCACCTTCTCTGTCCCAACGATTTGCTCAGCCAGGGGCTCCTTTTGGCCCTTCTCCTCTCCAGAGACCTGGTCAGGGGCTCCCCAGCCTGCCCCCCAACACAAGTCCCTTTCCTGGTCCGGACCCTGGCTTTCCTGGCCCTGGTGGTGAGGATGGGGGGAAGCCCTTGAATCCATCTGCTCCTACTGCTTTTCCCCAGGAGCCCCACTCAGGCTCCCCGGCTGCTGCTGTTAATGGGAACCAGCCCAGTTTCCCCCCAAACAGCAGTGGGCGGGGTGGGGGCACTCCAGATGCCAACTTGGCACCTCCTGGCAAGGCAGGTGGGGGCTCTGGGCCCCAGCCTCCCCCAGGCTTGGTGTACCCATGTGGTGCCTGTCGGAGTGAGGTGAACGACGACCAGGATGCCATTCTGTGTGAGGCCTCCTGCCAGAAGTGGTTCCACCGTGAGTGCACAGGCATGACTGAGAGCGCCTATGGGCTGTTGACCACTGAAGCCTCTGCCGTCTGGGCCTGTGATCTCTGCCTCAAGACCAAGGAGATCCAGTCTGTCTACATCCGTGAGGGCATGGGGCAGCTTGTGGCTGCTAACGATGGGTGACGCTGGTGAAATGGCCCAGGGAAGTGCACATTGTCTCTCCCTGCTCTTCCAGGGTGATTTTTTTGATGTCTGGCTCTTGGTCCTTGTTTCCACTGGCTTTCCATCCCCATGGGGCAGAAACAGTGGCGCCTGGAAGCAGAAAAGGAGTTGAGGTGGGCAGGCAGAAGAGCCTGGATTGCTCGCTTTTCTGGGAAACTTACATGTTGAGATCTACAGAGATCCAGGAAACCAAAGCCCTGCTGAGCAGAGCCATTTTGTGGCTGTTTCTGGAGGCCCGGAGTGTGGCTGCAAGAATAAAGGGGCTGGAGGAAGATCCAGAGGGCAGGGGTGTTCCCTCTGCTGATGATGGATGCCCCTAACACCTGTGCCTAATACCCCTACCGAGCCGCACAGCTCCAGCCTTAGTTTTTGGAGTCAAGTGTTAAAGGTTTCTGGCCAGAGGAATTGGGGTCTTGCCATCCCTGCAATAGCCCTTTCATGGGCTCTGGGAGACAGCTTTAGGGAATAAATGGGGATTTTCCCCTTTTTCTACCCACTCCTTTGCTTCCTCCAAGACTTACCCAGCTCCTCCCCCCTCAGAGAACCAAATAGCCTGAAGAAGCAGGAGAGTTCCTGGTTATGGCAGTTTTTTTGGTGATTTGGGGCTTCAAAACTAGGTGAGAGATGCCGTCAGGACATATCTTCCTCATACCAAAGTCACTGGTCCTTTCTCAGCCTCTCATGCTTTTCTCCTGATGACCATATTTTTGCCAAAAATTGGGATATGTTATCTGACAGACCAGAATATTTGAAGTTTGGGCTGTCCTGGAAGTCTGGACTTTGGTGGTACCCTCCTCCCCCCAGCCCATCTGTTGCACATGATACTCCGTGTGCTCTGCAACTTCCAGCGCCCTTATTCCCCTACCTTCCTGGCTTGATTGAAGGAAAGCTTGAAAAGGCGCAGAGCCCTTATACCTCATTTTCTTGCTGATGAAAGGATCCAAGTGAGGCCCTCTGACAGCCTGTGGGTAGGGGATGTGGTGGGATCCTCATTGCCATGGTACTCAAAGGTAGAAGAACCTGGGGTTTGTTGCTTCTCTTTCCATGCTATTCTTTCATATCCTCTTGGGCCTGGTGATTAGCAATTCTCATTCCTCTCAGCCAAAGGCCTGCACTGGGCTTTATTTGTATTTTTTTATTTTTTAAGCACTGCCTGCCAGACATGGGCCTGGGGCCTGATCAGGACCTCACCGCTGCTCGCTCTCCTTTTCGGTTCTACATGTTCCTCCGCAGGATGGGGAAGGCAGGCATGTGGTGTGGTCCTCCTCAGAGAAGTTAGTGATCTCCCAGCTTGAGGTATAGACCTAGTGGTCCCCTACCCCCACTTCTCTCAGTTCCTGGCATGAGGAGAGAAGACCCTGCTGGTGGAGCCAACAGCCGTTGAGGCCCTGAGGAGAGAGACAGCGGGCCTCTGGGCGTTGCTCCCAGTGTCCCCCACACTAAAATGGCAGAGATGAAACCCCCCCACCCTGCTCAGCTCTTGTGTTTGTGGTTCTGTTGGCCTCATTTATCTGTTGCTATTTTTGTGTTGTCTTCCCCCGCCTTGCATTTTGTAAAATGGCTCCTGGGGGAGTGTCTTTGCTGGATCTGCTCCCTGGCCCTCTCACTCCACTACTTTTTTGGAAGACAGTGATGGCAGAATGCGGTGGTTGGTGGGCGGGGGGGTGTCTTTTGTACTGTTGGATTAATAAAATGACTTGAAAATCCCAGACAAGGACTCCTTGCTGTTGCTGTGTGAAAAGGCTGCAGTGAACCACTATCACTGCTGGGTAGGGTGCTTAGGGATTGAGGAGATATATACTCCCCAGGGTCCCTGGGAGTGGGAATGGCAGATCTGGGCCCTAAGCTGACCCTGGTATAAGCTGCTGAGCCAAGGGAGGCCTGTGTTTCCCTACCCATCCCCCTATGTCTCTACTGTGACAAAGTTTTCTTTCTGAGCATATTCCTGGGCCAGGCCTGGAGCCAGACGGATTTGGCACCAAGGCCTCTGGAAGACAAGTGCTTGAGCTCTCCTTGGTTTAGCACCCCACCCACCTCCCAGTTGTTTGGGTTAGGGAGCAAGTGTAGCTCTAAGGGTGAGGGGAGGGGCTGCTCCTGTTTTAGCAAATTTCATTTTGGGATGTTTTTGACATAGTTCCCACCCCTCAACCATTTTTTTAAGTAGCAATGGCATCTTTTAAGCAATCTGTGCTGGAGCAGGTTAGGAGAATGACAGGAGGGCTATTTCCACACCCTGGATTTGCGACCCGTCCCTTTCCCTTCCCCCATCTCACAGCTGTCTCCGTCTATCCTGGGGCCAACCTGGCCGCTTGTCCGCGTCATCTTAGGAGACGGCACTCTCTCCCTTTCAGTTTGGGGGATTCCTTCTAGAAACTTTAAACATTGGGAAAGAAGGGCAGGTAACTCGAGATTCAGCTGGGACCCCGGTCGCCCACCAGGAGGTAAGCCCAAATGTAGGGGCTGTGTAGCTAGACCTCCCTTCCCCTCCTCGGGCTCTCAATTTCTGCCCTTATTGGCCGAAAGTTTACGCCCCCTTGGGGAAGTTGACTTTTCATTGGCCAGTTTCTGGTCACATGATCCTCTTGGGCTGCAAACGAAGGGGAGGCAGCAACAAGTTAAGCTGAAGACCGAAGCAAGAGCGGGGTCAGGTAATTCCTTTGCTGGGGATGGGGTCCACGGATTCCCTGTGAAGGGGAGTGATATAAGGAAAAGGGAAGGCGGAACTCTAGAAAGAATGAGCTGCTTTTCATTTCTGGGCTGGGGGAGGAGGGCCAGGTGCTGACGCTAACAAAACAGGAACTTGCTCTGCGTACCCCAGGCAAGTGGCCCTAGATCCTTTGCTTTAGAGGTTTGGGGAAGCAACTGTTAAAGGGGTTGAAATTAACTAGAGGCGAGACTTCCTAGCTTTGTACTGAGGGGGAGAGCTCCCCCTTTAGCTGTTTTTTAGAAATAGCAGAAGTCCTTGTCATAATCCTTACAGGAGGTGTTTGTTGAATCCTGCCTGAATGAAAAGAAGGGGGTGGGGGGAGGGAGTGGAGGTGGATTTTCTTCCAGAAGGTCGATGAATAGAAAAAGATCTGGAAACACAGCAGGGAAGGGTGGAGATTAGACAGCAGAAGGAACTTCCTAATAAGGCAGTGAGATGCTGGCTTGGGAGAAGAGGGATATATATTTTTTGAATCTTCAGTTAACCTAACCAGGAGAGAGGTGTCAGGGGTTGGGACCCTGAGTATAGGGGTTCCAGAGTGTCTCTTATTCGGGTCTCATAAGTATTTGTTTTGTTGACCCAAATACCTTTGCTGGTTTCCATGGAGACAGTGGGTCTGACATCACTGTGGTTGCCATGGTGCCTGGTTCTAGGGGACCTGAGCAGGCTGTACACACAGCTAGGGATAAACAGGGACTTCAGCCCAAGCTGCTGCCACTTCCTTCCTGCCACCACCTGTTAACAGTCACACGAAGCAACTGGGGATGGGGAGATGATGACAATGGCGGGGGACGAGCCCACAAACGGAAGGCTGAACAGCCGTGGCTCTGTGGATACCTATGATGCATGCCAGGGTGTCCTGTTGGACTTCGTATGGGGAAGTCATTGCAGCCATTCTCCTAACTGCCTGTGGGATGGGTGATGAGTCTGGGGGGATGGTAATTGAGAAAGACCTGTCCAAGACTTGGATCTTGACTGGCCGGAGCCACACGCAGGACTTGAAAACAGCTCAAACAGAAGGGGATAATGTGATTGGTTTTAAAGGTAGAACTGCCATACTTTCCCAGCCTCACTTCGCTTTTCCTGAGTTTCCTTATCAAGTGCTCAGAAAGCAGTCATTTCTCCTTTTCTGAAAGATCACAATCCAGTACTCTTGAGAGGTCAGCTCATCCACCCTTCCTACTTTATGCCTGGTCCCAGTAGGCGCTGCCTGAGGGAACTGTCTTGGCCTTGGATGTGGGGGTGGATCCCTCTCTTCTTACCCTGCTTTGTGTCAATCAGGCTTTGGAAACTGAAGTGATTCCCTCCCCCGTCCCTGTCAAATCAGAGCGGATTAACGGGGCAGGACCACAGCTCTGATTTTTGTCTATTCTTTGCAAGCTGTAAAGTGATGTGTACATGAGTTGCTATAAATCCATTTTCCCAGTCACCTTCAAGTTCGCTAAGACCAAACTCTGGAGATTACTAAGAAGGTAAACAGAATTTAGGATGGAGAGTGAGAGTGACAAGGAGACTTATACAAGGTGAATCCAGGTAGATCTAAGCTATGCCAGTGGTTCTCAACCCTGGCTGTGCATGAGAATCATTTGAGAGGTTTTTAAAAAGACCCATGCCTGGGCCTGCCCCCTAACTCAATAGAATCAGAATCGCAGGTGACTGCAATGTGCAGCCAAGATTGAGAACCTCTGAACCAGACCATACCAAGGACTTAGGCTGGGCAAGTGGTGGGAGACTGAGGGCTGAAGGAGGCCATCGAATCGTCCCTTCCGGGTCCCGGGGGAGAAGGTAGATTGTGGAGGTGCCTGGTGTTGTGAAGGGAGGGCTATGTTGTTTTCCTTGCTCTTACTAACAAGTCTTCTTATTGGCAAGGCATGTCTGTCAGCCTTTCTGGGCGTCATCATCTCTGACTATAATGTCAGGGAGTTGGACTGGAATTCCCCAGAGCCTTTCCAGCCTATGCTACTTTGACCTTTCAAGGTCACTTCAGTTTTCCAAAGACCCTGCTGGTCCCTGGAAGAGGCTGGCTTCTCTGCGGCTCTTGGCAGATTCTAATTTGCAAGGCAAATACTGCTTAGAAGAGTTGAGGCGTCAGGGAGAGAAGGCTTGGAACTGGGCTTGGTTCTGGAGGCTGCTGCCCAGCGCTTGAACCTTGGAACCCAGCCAAGGCTGCTTTCTGCATCCAGCCTCTTGTGAAGGGAGCTCCCATCTTTAAGAGAGCTTTCTTCTGCAGGTGGCAGCCACAGCAGCCTCAGAGACTTCAGCAACTATGGCCTCCTGCCCAGACTCTGATAATAGCTGGGTGCTTGCTGGCTCCGAGGTAGGAAGAGCGGGCCTAGGAACCCTGGGGGTGGGGTTGGGGGGTGTTTCTGCAGTGCTGGGCTTCTTTCTGGGTGGGTTCCTTTCCTTAGTCCTGATGGTCACCTACATCACTTCCTGCCGGCTGTTAGAGGATCTCCAGTAGTGGGAAGAAGGAGATCTGGCCCTAGGGGACAGTTATTGGCACTTGGACCATGCCATGAAGGAAGGGTACCAGTTGGATAAGCTGAGAGAAGTAGGGAGGGACTTCAAATGGAGAGACCAGTGTGAACAAAGGTTCCGAGGCGATAGTGGGGAAAGCCATGCTGGGGGAGACTGTGGGGAGCCCATGGGTGAATGTGGAGGTGTGGGTCAGAGGCAGTGTTGGAGTGAGGTTGGGGGCAGAGACTGGGAACCCCTAGAAGAGACCTGGAGGGCCTGGCTGAGGCATTCAGGCCTCATCCCGATGGGAAATCTGTGTGGGGCTTTGAGTTAGAGGGATCAGGACAGTCATTGTCTTGGACAGAAGGTGAAGCCACTGTGTGGGCTGGGTGGGAACAGGAAGAGAGTGTTTTGACAGCCCCTGCAGTGGTCCAGGTAGCAGTTGGTGGAGCAGGAGCCCACTGAGAAGGGAGGAGGGCGCTGGCAGGATGGGGAACTGAGTGGCTAGAGAAGGGATTGCAAACATTTGTTGAAGGCATCTCTGAGCGTTCCAGGACTGAGTGATGGCTTTGTGTATTAGAGCCACCTGGAGGGAAGGAGGGAGGAGCTCGGTTTCAACATGTGGAGTTTGAGGTGCCCTTGAGGAACGCAGCTGGGAGTAAGGAGTTGACTTTGGGGATGACACTGTAGCAGGACACATGGACCAGGGCTCGCTGGCAGAGGGAAGGCAGGTATGTGCAGACAGGCACCAGGTTCTCAGAGCCCTGGCCTCCTGCTGAGGTGTCTTTGCTGACAGCTGGGGGACCTTGGGCATGCCATTTCACCCCTGTCCTCTCCAGTAAAATGGGGGTCATGATTTTTGCCTTGTAGGGGAGACCATAAGAATAAAAATGCTTTGAAAATGGCAAAGACACATACTAAAGTGAAGCATTATTCTCAAAGGGATAATAGGAGCCACGGGGCGGGTGGCAAGCCAGGGGCTTGCGGAAGGGGAGTATGCAGAGGGAAGAGGCTCAGGCTGTGTGGCCAGGGCTGGATGTCCAGGCTGAGAGCACCCTGGAGACAGGCTGTCTGTGGCTGGGGTGGGTTGGGCTTCTGTGAGCAGCTTCTGGGAGACGGGTGTGGGGGGAGTGTCAGGGACCAGCGTGAAAGGCCAGAAAGGCTTGGGAGATGGAAATAGTTGGCCAGTTGAGAGGGCAGCCGCAGGGACACCCGGGAGGCACCCAGGGGACTTTGTTCTCTCGCCTTCCTCCCACCTGTAATATGGTAATATCTGGGTTGTTCATCTATGGGGAAGGAAGTGCTGCTGATCTTGAGGGGAGGGAGACCTGGGCTCTAGCTGGCCTCCTGCAGGCAGGGCCCCAGGTTTGTACTGCATCCAGTGCCTTGGTCTGGTGGTGCTTTTCTGTATAACGGAAACCTGCTCCCTAAAATTTCTTCCTCTCCGTGAGTTAGGCTGGGGAATGGCCAAGCACTTGGTCCTGTCCCGAGCCCCTTTTTGGGCTGGTTCATGACTGAGTGTGTGTATTTCTGGGTTGTGGGCTGGGAGCCCATTCTCGGGTACAGCGCTTCTCCTTGCACTCCTCCTCCCAGAGCCTGCCTGTGGAGACGCTCGGCCCAGCCTCCAGGAGGGACCCAGAACCCGAGCGAGCCCTGCAGGCCCCTCGCAGCCCCTCCAAAGCAGATGGGGAAGAATTAGCTGGAACCGTGGATGGCGAAGGTATCAGGCCCTGCTTAGGACGTAGCTTACCAGACAAAGCTATTTTCCATATCTTGGGGTTTCCCAATTTCCTCAGAGAAAGGGAGGCTGGTTAGTTTTAGTTCCTTTGTTAATCTCAGTTGACAAACCCCTTTTCTCATTCCATTCTGGCTTTTTCCTGCCCCTTCCAACCTGGTAGGGCCTGTGGGAGACAGAGGGCTGCATGGGAAATTCAGCTGGGGCAGTGGGTTTTTCTGGGCCTTTTCTCCTACCACAGGGATGCTCTTCCAGACTGAAAGCCCTCAGTCTGGCACTGTTCTGATAGAGGAGACTGAGGTCAAGGTGAGGAGCTTCCCTGTGGGAGCAGGGGAGGAGGGAGAGCAAGCAGCTGCTCACTGCTGCATCTGTGTCAGGACACCCTGGAAGGTGATGTTTGTGGTGTGGAGCCTCCTGGCCCAGGAGACACAGCAGACCAGGGAGACTTGCAGGAGACCTCCGTGGTAACAGGTCTGGGACCAGACACACAGGACCAGGATGGCCAGAGTCTGCCACAGAGCCTGCCTTCAACCCCCAAAGCGGGTGAGAGTCCTCCTTGCCTCTTCTATCACTCTCCTTCTAGAGGGTATGGGAGAGGGATCAGCCATCACGACCGAACACATGCTGTGGTCCAGGCCCTGGGGCTGAGCAGCTTGGTGCCCTCCTTTCTCACCACTACCCCTGGGACATTGAGGCCCAGAAAGGTTGAATGACTTGACCAAGGTCACATTGCTGGTAAGGGGCAGGGCCCACATCTGGTTGACTCTTTCCTGTCTGCCATGGGGGCTTCCTCTTTTCTTGCTTCTAGAATTCAACCCTCATTTCTAGAGTCCCTTTCTTGTGCTGGCTCTGGGCCTGTGGGGGAGGGATGGTGGGGGGTTACCGCCTATGTAAGTGGCAGATCAGACTGAGCCAAGATGGGTGTCAGACCTAAGAGAGGTACAGAAGTATAATTAAGGTACTCCCAAAGGAGGGAGAGGCCATTCAGTCAGGGGACAGGTTGAGGGCAAGGGAGAGTCTGGGACAGTGAGAGGTGACATCAGAGTGGAGTCCTGAGCACAGAGCCAGCTTTCGGTAGATAGGGCAGGGGAAAGAGAATATTCTAGGCCAAGGCTGCAGCATCAGCAAAGGAGTGGGGACCACCTGGTTTGTGCCAAGGAGCTCTGTTCCAGGCTTGTGGTGGAGGAGTGCAGGAGTTGGTCCCTGTTGAAGGGTGACAGGATGGAGGGCCTGGGGCCATTTAGGAGGCAACTGCAGTGGTCAGGCAAAGATGATGCAGAGCCAGGCCAGGCCGGGCATGGTGGCTTGTGCCCGTAATCCCAGCACTTTGGGAGGCTGAGATAGGAGGATTGCTTGAGCCCAGGAATTCAAGGCTGCAGTGAATGACGGTGATCCCACTGTACTCCAGCCTGGGCAACAGAGTGAGACCCTGTCTCTAAAGAAAATTAAAATAGGTGGCTGGGCGTGGTGGCGCACGCTTGTAATCCCAGCACTTTGGGAGGCTGAGGTGGGTGAATCACCTGAGGTCAGGAGTTTGAGACCAGCCTGGGTAACATGTTGAAGCCCCGTCTCTACTAAAAATACAAAAATTAGCTGGTGTGGTGGTATGCGCCTGTAATCCCAGCTACTTGGGAAGCTGAGACAGGAGAATTGCTTGACCCCAGGTGGTGGAGGTTGCAATGAGCCAAGATTGTACCATTGTACTCCAGCTTGGGTGACAGAGGGAGACTCTGTCTCAAAAATAAATAAATAAATGAATAGGCTGGGTGTGGTGGCTCACACCTATAATCCTAGCACTTTGGGAGGCTGAGGTGGGATCGCTTGAGCTCAGGAGTTTGAGACCAGCCTGGGAAACATGGTGAAAAACCATGTCTTCAAAAAGTACAAAAAAAAAAAAAAAGCAAATTAGCCAGGCATAATGACGCGTGCCTATAGTCCCAGCTACTTGGGAGGATGAGGTGGGAGGATTGCTTGAGCCTGGAAGGCAGAAATTACAGTGAGTTGTGATCACACCACTGCACTCCAGCCTGGGTGACAGAGCCAGACAGACCCTGTCTCAAAAAGTTAAAATAAATAAAAATTTAAAAATATTTGGCTGGGCGCGGTGGCTCACGCCTGATCCCAGCACTTTGGGAGGCCGAGGCGGGTGGATCACGAGGTCAGGAGATCGAGACCATCCTGGTCAACATGGTAAAACCCCGTTTCTACTAAAAATACAAAAATTAGCTGGGCATGGTGGTGTGCGCCTGTAATCCCAGCTACTCGGGAGGCTGAGGCAGGAGAATTGCCTGAACCCAGGAGGCGGAGGTTGCGGTGAGCCGAGATTGTGCCATTGCACTCCAGTCTGGGTAACGAGCAAAACTCCGTCTCAAAAAAATATATATATACATATATATATATATATATATATATATATATATATATATATATATTTAAAAAAATAAAAAGAGAAAGAAGATGCAGACCTGAACTAAGGCAGGTGCAGTGTGGGTTGTGAAGAGGGGTGGACTGTCGGGATGTTTAAGGATAGAACTGTGAAACTGTCTGGATGTGAGGTGGAGCGGGAGGGCTTAGGTTAGCTGGATGGCAGTCTCGTACCTGTCCCTGAATTGGGGAAACACCAGCAAAGAGGCAGTTTGCAGGGCAGTGTGTTGAGTGATTGGTCTCAGCGGGAGTGGCCGGTAGGGAGTCACATATACAGGCCTGGAGCTCTGGGAGGCCAAGTTAGGAGTTACACAATAAGGACTCATTGCTGAGGGGGTGTCAGTGTATGAGATGGCTGTGACTGTGTGTACAGTGAGAAGAGCAGAGAACGTGAAGTGGTGCCAGGGAGACCAACCCCTTTAGGGTCAGGGAAGCGCCAGGGAGGGAGAACGGGAAGGAGTAGCCAGAGAGTTTGGAGGGGACCCAGGAGGGCGGTGGTAGCTGCAGGAGTTTGATGTACGGTGCACACTGAGGAAGGAGGGTGCTTTCAGGATGAAAGAGCCTTTAATAGCTTGAAGATCGACAGCACTGTCTCCTGCCTCTAGACGGGGCAGGGGCAGTCATCGATGCCCAGGCCGAAGTGGGCAGAATCTGCATGTGACCCTCTCTGGGGTTAGGACTGAGGACCTCCCTGTGCCTTCCTCTGCTTCCCCTCTCTCCCTGTGTCTTCCCATCTCTCCAGTCACCTTACTGCCCTGTCCCTATCCGCTCTCCTAGCTTGGATCAGGGAGGAGGGCCGCTGCTCCAGCAGTGAGGATGACACAGACATGGACGTGGAGGGTCTGCGGAGACGGCGGGGCCGGGAGGCTGGCCCAGGTCAGCCCGTGGAGTCCCTGGCTGTGGAGAACCAGGCTGGGGGTGAGGGTGCAGGCGGGGAGCTGGGCATCTCCCTCAACATGTGCCTCCTCGGGGCCCTGGTTCTGCTGGGCCTGGGGGTCCTCCTCTTTTCAGGTGAGTGGTACCTCTGCAGGTGGGGCTTTGGGCTTCCACACCTGCCTGCCTGCCCTCCTGCCATGTTTTCTCTCTATCTCACCTCACCCCTCCCCGAGGGCCTCACCAGACTCCTCTGTCTCTGTCCTCAGGTAGAGAGGGGCGTGGCCTGTGCTGGGGGGTTGGGTGTGTTCTCTGGTTCTCTGGGTCAGGAGTAGCAGTGCTGGGGGCTCACAGTTGATTCGCAGTTATTGACCTTGTCAGCTGTTCAGGGGGCCCCTTGGTCCTTTACCGCACCAACCTCTTGGCCACAGGGTGGATCCCCAGCAGGAGCAGTGACTGTGAGTGGGAGGGTGTGGGGGGAGTGGGCTCCGTGTGCCTCGGGACCAGTCTCAGGACTTCCTTTCCATAGGGCCCGTGGAGGAAGGGGAGCAGGTCCTTCCGGACACTGGGTCGGATCCTGAGCTGCTGGATGCTGTGGGGGACAGGCAGGTATGTGTGAATGCCTCTAGAGGCATGTGAGGCCTGGCTGGGGAGAACCTGGGCTGTGGGGTAGCATGGGTAACAGGTTCTTCTGCCCTCAGGATGGGCTAAGGGAAGAGCTGCAGGCCTCAGTGCCTCCTGACAGTGTCCCCAGCCTGCAAAACATGGGTCTTCTGCTGGACAAGCTGGCCAAGGAGAACCAGGACATCCGGCTGCTGCAGGCCCAGCTGCAGGTGGGCACAGGCAGGAAGGGCTGGGCTAAGGTAACCCACCTAAGCCAGGTATCTGTCTCAGCATCCTCCCCAAAAAGGAGTATTTCCTATTTGCCTACACATCCTGACCCTCCCCTCTCCCACTGTAGTCAGGGAATCTTCCCAGTCCTCCGTTCACCTTCCTTGTGCTAAGGTTTGGGCCAGGGCTGCCATTCCTATTCCACATGGCATGTGAAACATACATGGTATCACCTGTGATTGATTGGTATGGTCTGCCTGGAGCACTGTGTGGAAAAGGATTTAAAGACCATGCGAAGACTCATGCCAAGTGCCGTGATCAATGAACAGTGTTGGAAGTAAGACCATGACAGCCACTTACTGGCTATCCTCAGGTGAATCTAGGCAGTGTGTGCTTATATATGGACACAGATGCTGAGACCCAGGGTGGAACATACTGGCTCTCCTCAGGTGAATCTAGGAAGTGTGTGCTTATATACAGACAGAGATGCTGAGACCCAGGGTGGAACATACTGGCTATCCTCAGGTGAATCTAGGAAGTGTGTGCTTATATACGGACACAGATGCTGAGACCCAGGGTGGAACATACTGGTTATCCTCAGGTGAATCTAGGAAGTGTGTGCTTACATACAGACAGAGATGCTGAGACCCAGGGTGGAACATACTGGCCATCCTCAGGTGAATCTGGGAGGTGCGTGCTTACATACGGACAGAGTTGCTGAGGCCCAGGGTGGAACATACTGGCTATCCTCAGGTGAATCTGGGAGGTGTGTGCTTACATACGGACAGAGTTGCTGAGGCCCAGGGTGGGACATACTGGGTATCCTCAGGTGAATCTGGGAGGAGTGTGCTTACATACGGACAGAGATGCTGAGGCCCAGGGTGGAACATACTGGGTATCCTCAGGTGAATCTGGGAGGTGTGTGCTTATATACGGACAGAGATGCTGAGGCCCAGGGTGGAACATACTGGGTATCCTCAGGTGAATCTGGGAGGTGTGTGCTTATATACGGACAGAGATGCTGAGGCCCAGGGTGGAACATACTGGGTATCCTCAGGTGAATCTGGGAGGTGTGTGCTTATATACGGACAGAGATGCTGAGACCCAGGGTGGAACATACTGGGTATCCTCAGGTGAATCTGGGAGGTGTGTGCTTACATACAGACATAGATGCTGAGACCCAGGGTGGAATTTGGGGATCCTTGTGTCTCATTCATGATGGAGATGGGGTGGAGGATGAAAACCAAATCCTCTGGGTGTTCCAGGCCATAAAAGGGGCTCAGGCCACCTGTCCACTATAGTGAAATGGAATTGGAATAGAAGGCATTGGGCCTAGCCTGACAAGAACTTTTTGTGACTTCCTTCATCCCAAACTATATTCCAGGCCCAGAAGGAAGAGCTTCAGCGCCTGATGCACCAGCCCAAAGGGCTAGAGGAGGAGAATACCCGGCTCCGGGGGGCTCTGCAGCAGGGCAAAACCTTCCAGCAGGCTCTGGAGTCAGAGCTGCAGCAGCTGCGGGCCCGGCTCCAGGGCCTGGAGGCTGACTGTGTCCGGGGCACAGATGGGGTGTGCCTCAGTTGGGGTAGAGGCCCGCAGGGTGACAAGGCCATCAAGGAGCAAGGCCCCAGGGAGCAGGAGGCAGAACTCAGCTTCCTGAAGCAGAAGGAACAGCTGGAGGCTGAGGCACAGGCATTAAGGCAAGAGCTGGAGAGGCAGCGGCAGCTGCTGGGCTCTGTCCAGCAAGATCTGGAGAGGAGCTTACAGGATGCCGGCCGCGGGGGCCCAGCTCACGCTGACTTGGCTGAGCTGGGCCACAGATTGGCCCAGAAACTGCAGGGCTTGGGGAACTGGAGCCAGGACCCTGGGGTCTCTGCCAATGCCTCAGAGGCCTGGCATCAGAAGTCCCACTTCCAGAATTCCAGGGAGTGGAGTGGAAAGGAAAAGTGGGATGGGCAGAGGGGCCGGAAGGCTGAGCACTGGAAGCCTGAGAAGGAAGAATCTGGCCGGGAACGGAAGAAGAATTGGGGAGTTCAGGAGGACAGGGAGCTGGCAGGAAGGTGGAAGGAGGGCAGGCCAGGGGCGGAGGAGTGGGGAAGCAAGAAGGAGGGCAAGCGACAGGGCCCTAAGGAACCCCCAAGGAAAAGTGGTAGCTTCCGCTCCTCTGGAGAAAAGCAGAAGCAACGTCGGTGGAGGGAAGGGGCTAAGGACAGCCATGACCCTCTGCCATCCTGGGGAGAGCTGTTGAGACCCAAGTACCGGGCGCCCCAGGGCTGTTCAGGTGTGGACGAGTGTGCCCGGCAGGAGGGCCTGACTTTCTTCGGCGCAGAGCTAGCCCCAGTGCGGCAACAGGAGCTGGCGTCTCTGCTGAGAACGTACCTGGCACGGCTGCCCTGGGCTGGGCGGCTGACCACAGAGCTGCCCCTTTCACCTGCTTTCTTTGGCGAGGATGGCATCTTCCGTCATGACCGCCTCCGCTTCCGGGATTTTGTGGATGCCCTGGAGGACAGCTTGGAGGAGGTGGCTGTGCAACAGACAGGTGATGATGACGAAGTAGATGACTTTGAGGACTTCATCTTCAGCCACTTCTTTGGAGACAAAGCACTGAAGAAAAGGTGGGCAACTGTGGGGAGTTGAATCAGGTGGGACAGAGGCAGTTGGGAGGATGTGAGGAGCAAGGGTCGTTACTTTGAGGATGTATCCTTACTTTTGGTCCCCAGCTGTCTTCCCTTAGAGAAGGTATCCAGGTCTGCTTCCTTTCTTCCCTTGAGGGCAGGAAATGGCCTATGCTTACCCGAGAGCAGTCCCCTTTTTGGGCAGGGGAATTCTTTCTTCTGAGTTGCCCTGCCCTGCCCCTACCTGCATGGCCCAGGAGCTGAGGGAGATCCCCACCTTCCTCCCTCACTGGAGCCTTCATCCTGGGCGACCAGGGTTTCTCCCCACTATGCTTGATGGTGCCTGCCCGAGTCAGCTTCACTGGGAGGAGCAGGGTCCTCTCTCCCTGGGGAACCCTTTTCACCACATGGTATTATCCCCTAAAGGCCTCTTTCTCCCCTGCTTGTCTCCCCACAGGTCAGGGAAGAAGGACAAGCACTCGCAGAGCTCAAGAGTTGTGGGGCCCAGGGAGGAGCACAGCCACCACCATCGGGGCTGACGCCTTACCCCTTGGGGAATGGCCTTGGCCTGGGTCCAGCCCAAGATCCCAGCGTTATCTAACTCCTGGAGGCTGCACTTTGTCCTGGCTTGTTTGGTGTCCTTGGATATCCTTCACAGAATAGAGCAAAATCACCAGCCCTGCACTGATGCCACTTTCGCTAGAAAAAGGCCTTAGCTGGACCTGCTATCTATGCAAATGTATGCAAATACTCCAGGCCCTGGGATGTGGGCTTGTGTTTTGCCAATGTGAAGGGGGAGATGGGCGAGGAGGCTGTTTTGGGGTGGGGTGGGGGGAAGGCAAAATACTGTGATTCTGAAGCCAAAGAGCTTTTATCCTCTTGCATGTATGTCCGCAGAGTGGGCCCCTTTGTTTCCACATGCTGACTGGCGCCCCTGGGATTTGACTAGAGTTGCTGGCTGGAGGCCCAGCACGAGGACTTTCCCTGGGGTTTTGTTAGGTTTGGAGGCAACTGTCTCCAGGGGTGAAGTCCCCCTTTTTCACCCCTGCTTCTCCGGTGGCCTCACCTCCTGATATGAACTGTAGGCTCAGATTCCAATAAAGTGCTGTTGCAGCTGTGATGCTGGGTGGTTTCTAAGCACGGGGGATACCCCGCACCCCTGCCTGGATGGATGGGTGCGGCCCAGGCACTGGTACTTCCCCCTTGTCCTGTGTCCCCCTTTGCCCTTGCCTTGCCCGGAAGCTGACACTTCCCCTTTTGCTCACAGCTGCCTTGGCCGAAGCCCTGGGAGATGGAGCCGATGGGTTTTGGAGTAAGAGCCTTGGGCTCAAATCCGGGCTGAGTGATCTTGGGCAAGTTAATCTCTGGGGACTTTGGGTTTTTTATCCTCAAAAAAGGTGATGGAAGGGCTTGGGGAGAGATTAAATAAAGCAGTGCAAGAAAAATGCCTCTCCTGTTTTGGGCACCCAAAAAGTTACTGCCTTCTTTAGAGAAGAGTGTGGAGGAGGGAAAAGAACCCAGGCCCAGAAGGAAGAGCTTCTGGGGTGGGGAGGGCAGGGAACCACTAGGGGGCACCCTGGCTCCACATTTGCTCCAGACCTCGCCTCTCCTACTACTACCCACCCCCAAAATCTTGGACCCTACCCTACAAACCCCAGGGCCTGCTCCACTGGCCAGCTCTCCCAAGATGACCAGACTCCCCTTGGCTGTTCTCTAGGAAGTGCTTCCTGAGATCTAACCTCAGTCCCTTGGGCAATACACTGAGCTTCTTGACCACCCTGGAAATACCCAGGAAGTATGGGGGATAGAATAATGTGATGTGACCGCTCAGGCAGGAGGCCGGGGACTACAGGTTCCAGAATGGGCTGTAACTGATTTCCATATTCTTTAGCAAGCTGGTGTGTAACACTGTTTAAGGGCTTAAGGGTATTAGCTCATTTAATTCATGTGTGGGTGGGGCAGGGGTTAGGGCAGGCTGGGGATGGAACAAAGAGCACTAATTCAGCAACATTTATAAAGTCTATTGTGTACCAGAAACAGAGAGGCACTGGGAAAACAGAGGCACCTTAAGAAGCCTATAGTCCAGTAGAACCTGCTTTCTGCAGCAGGAGGAACTGCCGTTAGACCTAAGGAAGAACTTCCTTTCAGGCAGAAGTTCAGTGATACGAGCTAGGGAGGCTTTAGGATTCGGTACCCAGGCCTGTGAACCACTGCTCTTCAAAGAAGCCTAGTTTTACCCTGTTCACATTGCTCGCCTTCTGTAGGTGCTCCAAATTCTTGCTGCCTGAACAGCTGACTGCTAGAGTTGACTTGCTGAGAGATTGAGGCTTGAAGGTAGGTAGGATTCAGAGTCCTGGGACAGCGGGCTGGGCCTAGGGGAGGGGATGCAAGAACTACCTGGGTTCTTAGAGGGTGGTGACTCTCACCCTGGACCCTTGGGGCTTCTCAGTTTCATTTTTAGGGCTCATTTCCTTTGTTTGCATAACAAGTGCCCAGGGAGGCTGCCAGGTTCCCCTAAGCCCCCTCCTCTTCCTTACCCACTCCGGAAGTAGAGATGCTGAGTGGGAGGTTTCTGAAGCTGCTGAATCAGGAAGAAATATAGAGCCACGAACCCAAGGGGTATGTTGGGGAGGGCCGGGATGGCCGTGACATTGGCCGCTCTGATCATCCTGTCTCTGTGGTGCCCCTGGGAGGCGATCCTCACACTCATCACAGACCAGGAGGCCCCTCTCTCTGACATATCCATGTGGCCCTGGTTGGGAGGGAGGGGCCCAGGGTCCAGGTCTTCGGATGATCTCCTGACCATGGGGCCAGTGTGTGGAGATGAGTTCAGGGGGGCTAGAGCCAGGGGACAGCATTCCCTCCATCCCACAGGGCTTGGGGGCAGCTCTGGCCTGGGCAGGGCTTGGGGAGCCGCGGCGTCCGTTTGGCCTGCCAGGGTTTGGGCTGGGCTCTTCCAGTTTTAGCACTTGGCTTTCTGCCTTTTCCTCTGGGAGCTCCCCCATCTTGCCCATTGCCCAAGTAGGGCTTGCTTCCCTGAGAACTCAGCTATAGGGTCCTTGGGAGGAATCACTAGAGTTGGGGGTGGCCTTCTTGGGCCTTCTACTCTCAAATGGAAAAATTCAGTTTCCATTGGCCAGTCCCAAAAACTCAGTTCCTGGTAGGCCCCAGTCTGCATTCCCCCTCCCGTCCCTATCTCTCATTCTTCAGCCTCACCTCCTTCAGCCACCCTTTCCCCAGTGCCCTCAGTCCAGCCTCTGCCACCCTTGCCCTCTCTGGCCCTGTGCCTCTTCCAGGACTCCCTCATCTCCTGCTGCCTCACCATCATCTAGGCCTCAGCCTTTCCCCATTGCCTGGCACTTCCACCCGTCCTGGGGTGACAGGCGGTGGAGGTAGATGGGGTGGGTGGGTTGTAGGTGGTGATGGGTCACATCACTTCCCAGCCTGACCACCTCTTTTGGCTTCTGGAAGGTCAGAGGCACATGCTCCTTTTGAGAGTGGCTCCCAGCCTCGTCCGGCTGGGCCCAAGGACATACATGGGACTGGCTGGCTGTTGCCATGGGAACCTCCTAGGGTTACCCTGATGCAAGAATGTCTCCTCATCCTGCCTTGTTCTGGGCCACAGATGTTCCTGGCCCTTTCACGTGCTCGCAGCAGGGGTCTGGTAGGGACACTGCAGGTTGCAGGGTGGGGGTGTGAAGGGCTGTTGCCTAAATCAGACAGCAGGTTCTTCTCCTCCCCGACTCAGCTGCCTGAGCCACAGAAGCCCCTTGCTAGCCACTTCAGCCTCTTGTCTGAGGTCCCCATCCCCCCAACCCCTAGGCCTCTCTTAAGGTCTTTGGTAACCTTTGGCTCCCAGGATAGATGACTGCCCACTCCCAAATGGAGAACAACAGTGGACCCCTTCTCTGCTCACCTGTTCTTCTGGCTGGGCCTGGGCCTGGCTCAGCTGTTCCTGGGCCAGGTGGGGACCCAGCCCAGGTCTTTTCTAACCAGAGCTTTGGCCTGAGCAAGATTTGAGGTCGGAACACCCAGAGTGTCGGACTGCTGCCCACCTGTGGGCCTTGGGCAAGAGGCCTCTCCTTGCTTAAGGGCTCAGCTTTCTCATGACTGAAGTGGAGACCACAGATACTGCTCTCAGAGGCTGTGTGAGGATGAAATGAGTCAGTGTAAGATCCATGAAACGGCTTTGCAAGCTACAGGGTACTGATAACAGAGCAGTTATTTTTATTTTACTTAAGCTCTAAGGGGGAAACTGGGAGCCTCTGGGAGCTACTGATATGGGAGGAAAGGGTGTTGATTCCCCGACCATGTGGCAGAAGCTGGCGGGGAAAAGATGCTAACTACATTCAATTCTCAACACTGTGCTAGGTGCTGTGGGGCCCCCAATCCTTGCCCCAAGGCTAATTGGATTAGCTGCACACAAAGCAGAATTTTCATAGTCCTCTCTTAATGGTGCCAGGAGCAGTCTGCCAACTGGGTAAAGAGGAAGGAGGGGGTGGCCTTTGAGTTGAATCTTGAAAGATAATAGGATTTCACAGATGGGAGAATGGGGAGGGCATTTCAGGCTGGGCAAAGGTGAGGCCTGAGGTGGAGGTATTACAGCCTATAGCCAGATTGTTCACAGAGAGGGCAGATTCTCCCGCAGGCAGCCTGCAGGTCTGAGGGGCCGTCTACTCTAGGAAAGAGGAGGGATGCCACTAATCTTTGCTATTCTCCTCACCCTCCACTTCCACTCCAGAGCAGGGCCCCTCTGCAGGAGTTCTCACCAGCATGGGGCACTTACCTTCGCTCAGCCCCAGGGAGGCACCCAGCAGAGGGGAGGGACATCCATTGAGGTCATCACTGAGACCTTGTTCAAAGTCAAAGGGACAGGTCATCTGGCTGGAGCAGGATAGGCAGACACCTGAAGCCACAAGCTGTGGAGAAGAAAGTGCTAGATGGCTCCCTTGGGAAGGTGTGTTGCCCATGGGTCAAACAGGCTGGCCATCAATGCTTGCTTATCTGGAATGACAGGGGACTAGTCCTTGAGGCCAGCAAGGAAATAGGCCCACTGGGTGCTGTGGCTTATGCCTGTAATCCCAGCACTTTGGGAGGCTGAGGTGGGAGATTGGCTTGAGGGCAGGAGCTTGAGACCAGCCTGGGCAACATAGCAAGCCCTTATCTATACTAAAAATAAAAAAATAAAAAAAATTAACTGAGCATGGTGGTACGCACCTGTAGTCCCAGCTACTCGGCAGTCTGAGGTTGGAGGATTGCTTGAACCCAGGAGATCAAGGCTGCAGTGAGCTTATGATCTACCACTATACTTCCAGCCTGGGTGACAGAGTGAGACCCTATCTCAAAAAAAGAAAAGAAAAACAAGCCGTGATTGTCAAAGCACTTCTATACCTTCTATCTCCCTGAGAAGTAGACTTTCAAGAATGTTAAGACTGTCAGTATCTCTATTTAACAGATAAAGAAACTGAGATAGGGCGGGGCCTGTCATCTCAGTACTTCGGGAGGCCGAGGTGGGTGGGTCACAAGGTCAGGAGGTCGAGACCAGCCTGGCCAATATAGTGAAATCCCATCTCTACTAAAAACAAAAATTAGCTGGGCATGGTAGCAGGCACCTGTAGTCCCAGCTGCTCAGGAGGCTGAGGCAGGAGAATCGCTTGAACCTGGGAGGTAGAGGTTGCAGTGAGCTGAGATCGCGCCACTGCACTCAAGCCTGGGAGACAGAGTGAGAGACTCAAAAAAAGAAAAAATGAAGGAGATGTGACCTGTTCAGTGATGGAAAAAACAAAAGAAAAATCCAGAGAGATTAAGTGACTTGCCTAAGTCACATCCTAGCTAGACAGTGACCGTGGAGGAAGACTGACCCTCGGTCTCTCTTAGGGCACCTCGCTTCTTCTCCAGCCCCAGCTGGCTCAACATTAGTAGCACACTCCCGGCTCCCATTGGTGTTCCGTTGACTCCTCTCTGAGCCCTGTCCTCCACCCCCACTTTAGCTGCCTGGGCTCCTGGCCCTGGAGGCATTTCTTCTCTGGCCACCAGCTGCCACCTCACTGGCTCCAGCTAATGGGTAGGAGAAGGCCAGCCCTGGAAGGGCCTTTTGCCAGCTTCAGTCCTGCCTCTT